GAGGGAATTAGCCCAAAGTTGTATGAATCCATGAAGTTGAGCTATGATTATTTATCCATGGATGCAAAATCATGCTTCTTGCTCTGTTGTATGTTTCCTGAAGATGCCGAGATTCCAATTGATGAATTGGTGAGACATTGCACGGCGAGGGGGTTGCTTGATCAAAAGCCAGATACACTCGAAGAAGCAAGAGATGCAGTGCATACAGTGGTCGATACACTCAAAACTTGCTCTTTGTTGTTAGATGGCACAGATAAAAACGTTGTAAAAATGCATGATGTCATTCGAGATGTTGCTGTTTCAATTGCTGACGATGAAAAAGCAATTCTTGTAAAACATGATGTCCATGAGTGGCCGAAAAAAGGTACGTATGAATCTTACTTGGCAATCTCATTAACGTCCAAAACTGTTCATGAAGTTCCCAATAAATTGGGATGTTCACAACTCCACACCTTATTGTTGGAATGTATCGCTCCCTTGGTTATTATTCCAGACATGTTTTTCGATGGGATGGAGAAACTTACAGTTTTAGAATTGAATGGAGTACGTATGTTGCAACTCCCACCATCACTTGCAAATTTGGTTAACCTTCGGATGTTATGTCTAAATGAATGCCAGTTGGAAGACATAACTATACTCAAGGATCTAAAGAACAACCTTGAAGTACTTAGCCTTCGGGGTTCTGATATCAAGGCCTTACCATTAGAGATTGGACAATTGACTCAACTTCGGTTGTTAGATTTAAGAAATTGTAAAAAGCTCTCAAAGATTCCACAAGGCGTCATATCCAATTTATCTCGCCTGGAAGAATTGTATATTTTAGATGATCTTTTGCCATGGGAGGCCACAAGAGGCTACAAGGAAGGCAGCAAAGTGAATCTTGATGAGTTGAGGAAATTGACGCGATTAACCACTTTACATATACACATACCAGATGCCATGTTACTGCCTAAAGACATCTGCTTTGAAAACTTGATCAGATTTATAATATCAATGGGTGAAAGGTTTTATTTTTTGAAATATCAGTCATCAACAAGGATGTTTAAACTTGTAGGCATTCCCTTCAGGGATGAGTTTAATGTTTTGTTGGAGAGAGCTGAAGTGCTTCATTTGGAAAAAGTGGAAGGTATACAGAAGGTGTATCACAGACTATATCCATCAGGGTCCTTCAATAAATTAACTGAATTAACAATTGAAGATTGTAAGTTGAAATATCTCTTCTCCCCATCATGCGCAAGAGGACTTCTGCAAATTCAACAACTAGTAATAAGAGATTAGAGTTCACAAAGACTGCTTGAGTGCAAGAAGTGACGCTCGAGTGTAGAAGTAAAATTCTGGACAACAAGGATTTTGAAAAACAAGATATCAACTTGTTCCAAACGCAACCAACCCAACCCAAAAGCCAAACTCAAAGAGGTATAAGGGAAATAAGACATAAATGATTATAAAAGGCAATGAAACTCGGATCCAAAACATCAAATGGTTTGTGTCCAAACCAAAATCGCTATAGACACTCAAACTTAGATGTGGGAGAGGAAACCCTAAAAGACAACAAAAGAGACCTTTTATAGCAGTCTGGGTCACACAGACCACTCGAGCGAAGGAATGGTCATGTGAGCGGTGTGTCTAGTAAGCGGCGTGCATATGTGACTTCGATCGAGCCATCGAAAGTGTACTCGAGCGAAGAATGTGAGCTTTCAGTAATGTTGCAGACTGAAACACTGAGGATAAGGATTATTCACTCGAGCGACTAGTTTATCGCTCGAGCGGTCCAAGAACAAACAGAGGACAAAATTTACAAATGAAAAGTGTCTGTTCGCGGAATTGACAACACAAGGGACCTAACAATCTCTCCCTTTGTCAATTCCTAGACAAAACACATCTAACATTTAGTCCTACAAAACTCACGCTCTAGACACAATCAACAACCTAACCATTCGAAAAATGCCGTGTGAAGAGAACTACCTGCAAAGAGCACAAATAGCGCACAAACACTAGAATGGAAAGATAGATGATTAGTAACAAGATAAAATCCAAAATCAAAACCCAAAAGCACAAGCATGCATGCTATCATACCATCATCACCATCATACTTCCCCTTTTTGGCTGGGAGAGACAAAGGGACAAAATAGAACACCAAAGATACCGAAATGACCCATAGAAAAACTATATAATCCCAATATATCGACTAACAATGCCAAAGATTACCAACATGGGACAGATAATAGACCATCAATAAAATTATGCCCTAGAGATGATAGAAAAGAAAAGAAAAAATTGTCCAAAAAGAATAAAATAAAATAAAAATTTCCAAGACAAATAGATAAAGACAACATCACTAATATCGCGGAGGTGGAGGAGGCTGCTGCTGCATCTGAAGTAGGGACAGGATTTGAGGCAACTAAAGAGAGGACTGGTCCACGACATGCTCAATTCGCCTAGTAGAAGCCTCCAAAGCAATGAGACATGCATAGGTGGATATCTCTAAGTCTCTGATGCGAGCATCATAAATGTCTATCTGAGTGTCCAAACGATTAAAACGGGCGCTCATGGCCTGTGCCACCTGGAAGAGATAGTTCGAGCACGAGCAGGCTGTTCCCTCTCGCCAGCTACTGCAGCATCAATCTTAGCATCCTCATCCATCTGATTGTTTCCGGCACTTGAAACACTGGCACCGGACACGGGCTTGGCTCTAGGAAACCATCTTTTTGGTGATGGGTTTGATAGGACAAGAAAACTCATCATCAGAGGAGAATGGGACACCAAGAGGGGTAAGAAGCCGGTTTAAAAGACACCCGTAGGGAAGACCCAATGACTTCTTACCCTCAAACACTGAAATCATTTTGGAAACAATCATTTCAGGAAGATTGATGGAAAGACGATGGTCAATGCAATAAAGAACATATCTTTGATCTTGGGAAATGTTGGAACAATGTGCTACCAATCTCTATAATTATTTTATTTTTTTGGGAAAATTAAAAAAAAAAAAAAAAGAAAAAAAAATCCAAAATTTGAGTCGTCCAACAAAATAAATCTCAAGTTTTTAATTTTGTCAATTTAAATTCTAAACTTTTGATTTATTTTCAATTTATACCATTTTCTTATCTTCTTTAAGTAAAACAGCTTAAAAAAAAAGGAGTATTTTAGTTATTAAACTCAATAATAAAAGTATTGTAGACATTATATATATACATATATTAAGTTCAATGATTAAATTTTTTTTTTTAATTTGTTTTATTTAATGAAAATAGACGAATGATTTATATTGAAAATAAATTAAAATATTACGGTTTAAATTAATAAAATTAAAAATTATTTTTTTACAATGTTAAAAATTTCGGTTTATTTATTTTTAATTTCCCTTTAGTTTTTTATTTTTATTTTTTTATAGAAATGTTATATTCAGTGAAAGTTACAACAAGATGAATAGTTTACCCAAAATGAACCCACGGAAGCGTGACATCACCTCTCCTGCTGTATTCATCCAATCGGATTATTCTTAGGTAAATATATTACCAAATGCTTCCACTTATGTTTTTGGCTCAAATTAGATTGCGGGCTTACCTCATCAGTTTTTGCTGTTGCAGACAAATAGATTTTTTGCAAGCTTATTCTAGAGTCATGTTTTTATGAATTAAATTTACGAATGTTTTATGATTGTGTTAGGATGACAAATTTAGATAAGAATTTAAAAAGAAAATAGAAAAAAGATAAGTGAAATATATGCTAATTTTTTTCAATAATTTTTTTCCTTTCCAAATCACTGTTTAAATCTATAATTCAAACACAACGCAAGAACTTGTTTGGATATAAATGAATTTTAAACCAGAGATTTGACCTCAATCATTCAAGAACAATAACTCAAATTTAAATATAACAGTTTATTAATAAATTTCACGATTGAGTTAAGTACTTAAATCTTGATGAATTTTAAATCATCATATAAAACTATTAATTCAAATCGGGAAGTTATTGGTGAGCACCGAATAATTTTCTATTGAAATCGTGCGAAGGATCCTATTTCTTAATATAAACAACCTACTAAAATGTATATATGTCCTCTCTCAACTTATCTTCTTCCTTTCTATGTATTTAACCACCAATCCCTTGATTTAAAATATACAATTATCCAAACTGGTCGTAAAGTTGTGGTTGAATCATAAATTTGAATAAGAACTTATATACAGGAAAAAAGAAAATCATATTTCATTCACATTTTCTTTACCTTCTCTTTTCTTTTTCAAATTTCTAGCCAAATTCATGAATCAACCACATCATTAATAAAAAAAATAAGTTTTGTCGACTTTGAATCTTTAATTTTCATTTTATTCTTAGACATAAATGTACATGTTCTATAAGTATAATATTTTCTCAACCCCAAGGTTTTGCCTAGTGAGTGCAACTTAGGACCTAGGGGTGTGCTCCCTCTAGGTCTTAGGTTCAATTTTTATTAGGAGTAATCCACTCCTCAAAACTATGCTTGCGGGCTCTACCCAATTCACGTGGTGGGGGTGCTTTGTGTGAATTCCGAGATTAGTCAATATATATATATATAATATTTTCTCACTTTCACCTTTATATTATTATTATTTTTCACTTTGTAGTTCAATTTAGTGGCACATATCATTTTCTGTTAAAGTATTTTACAGCAACCACATTAACTAAAAACAATAGTTTAAGTACTAAATTGAATGCAAAGTATTGTAGATGCAGAGTGTAATTTATATCATTTTTCTTTTTCTTGTCTCTCTTAATTGCAGATAAAGGGAGCTTCTATCTTCTCAAATTTGAATCTCAGGCGTGATGGTTGACATATTGACTTTAGAAGTTGAAAGATAAGAAACTTGACATTTACGATGACTCTTGACTGGTTTCTGTTGCAATATGTACATTGTTTCTATTGTTAGCATTTGCTTTGAACCTCTCTTTTCTACCATATCCTTCTACTTTCCAAAAAATAAAAAGACTCACGAAGAGATAAGTAAAAGAGTGAATTGAAAATGTGTAGTCCCCAAATCATACTGGATAAGATTGTAGAAAAAATTGTTGATTCAGTGATCCAATCAGTGGTGTGTCATATCCGTTCTGTTTGCTGCTACAAAGAAAACCTGGAGAAGTTGGATGCTGAAAAGAAAAACCTGGAAGAACAGTGGCAAAAAGTCAATGACGAAGTTGATAGATACACGACCCTTGGTGAAGACATTGAGGCTAATGTTTCAAACTGGCAAACAGAGGCGGACAATAGGATACAAGAAGTTGAAGAATTTTTGAACCACAATACAGATAAGGAAAGCATGCAATGCTTTAAATTTTCATGTCCCGACTACATCTCACGCTACAAATTGAGCAAGCAAGCAGAAAGGAAGATTGGTGATATCAAAAATCTCACTCAAAAAGGAAAATTTGACAAAGTTGCACATCCTAAACCAGCTCCTCAGAAACTTTTATTCCCATCCAGTGCTGATTTTGTAAGTTTGGATTATATGAGTTTCGATTCAAGAGAATTGGTTTTCAAGAGGATCATGGATGCATTAAAAGATTCCAAGGTTTACAAGATTGGGGTGCATGGACTAGGAGGGGCAGGTAAGACAAAGATGGTTGAAGAGCTTAGCAAACAAGTGAAAAAATATGGACTTTTTGATGAAGTTGTGATGGCAGTTGTCTCTCAGGATGCAAATGTGAGCAAAATCCAATTGCAGTTGGTTGGGGGTTTGAATCCAAAACCTGATGTAGAGAAAATTACTGATGACCATGAGAGAGCAAAAAAATTGTGGCAGAGATTGGACAATGGGAAGAAAAATCTAATAATATTGGATGATATTTGGCATGAACTAAGCTTGGACACAATAGGTATTCCTATCACAGGTAAGAACAAAGTTGTGATAACGTCTCGAAATCGAGATGTGTGGAAAAATATGGAAATGGATACAGAAATTCAGATAAAAGTACTATCAAAGACAGAAGCATGGGCCCTATTCAAGAAGAAGGTAGGAAATTCTGTTGATTCCCCTGAACTACATGCTACAGCAAAAGAGGTGTGTAAAGAGTGTCAAGGTTTGCCGGTTGCTATACTTGTACTTGGAGGTGCATTAAAAGGTAAGGAGAAGCATGTTTGGAAAAACGCACTTGAGAAGCTGAAAAAGTGTATGCTAAACAAAATTGAGGGAATTAGCCCAAAGTTGTATGAATCCATGAAGTTGAGCTATGATTATTTATCCATGGATGCAAAATCATGCTTCTTGCTCTGTTGTATGTTTCCTGAAGATGCCGAGATTCCAATTGATGAATTGGTGAGACATTGCATGGCGAGAAGGTTGCTTGTTGAAAAGCAAGATACACTCGAAAAAGCAAGAGATGCAGTGCTTACAGTAGTCGATACACTCAAAACTTGTTCTTTGTTGTTAGATGACACAAATAAAAATGTTGTAAAAATGCATGATGTCATTCGAGATGTTGCTGTTTCAATTGCTGATGATGAAAAGGCAATTCTTGTAAAACATGGTGTTCATGAGTGGCCGGAAGAAGGTACATATGAATCTTACTTGGCAATCTCATTAAGGTCCAAAACTGTTAATGAGGTTCCCAATAAATTAAGATGTTCACAACTCCACACCTTATTGTTGGAATGTATCGCTCCCTTGGTTATTATTCCAGACATGTTTTTCGATGGGATGGAGAAACTTACAGTTTTCGAATTGAATGGAGTACGTATGTTGCAACTCCCACCATCACTTGCAAATTTGGTTAACCTTCGGATGTTATCTCTAAATGAATGCCAGTTGGAAGACATAACTATACTCAAGGATCTAAAGAACAACCTTGAAGTACTTAGCCTTCGGGGTTCTGATATCAAGGCCTTGCCATCAGAGATTGGACAATTGACTCAACTTCGGTTGTTAGATTTGAGAGATTGTAAAAAGCTCTCAAAGATTCCACAAGGCGTCATATCCAATTTATCTCGCCTGGAAGAATTGTATATTTTAGATAATCTTTCGCCATGGGAGGCCACAAGAGGCAACAAGGAAGGAATCAAAGTGAATCTTGATGAGTTGAGGAAATTGACGCAATTAACCACTTTACATATACACATACCAGATGCCATGTTACTGCCTAAAGACATCTGCTTTGAAAACTTGATCAGATTTATAATATCAATGGGTGAAAGGTTTTATTATTTGAAATATCAGTCATCAACAAGGATGTTTAAACTTGTAGGCGTTCCCTTCAGGGATGAGTTTAATGTTTTGTTGGAGAGAGCTGAAGTGCTTCATTTGGAAAAAGTGGAAGGTTTACAGAAGGTGTATCACAGACTATATCCATCAGGGTCCTTCAATAAATTAACTAAATTAACAATTGAAGATTGTAAGTTGAAACATCTCTTCTCCCCATCATGCGCAAGAGGACTTCTGCGAATTCAACGACTAGTAATAAGAAATTGTGAGGTCATGGAAGGAATTGTTGAAAATGAAGGAAAAAAAAATGAAGAGGCAGTCACAAGTGAGGCAATTAATTTTAGTCAATTGAAATATATGGAGTTGGGAAATCTACCCAGCCTCGTAAGCTTCTACCCCAAAATGGAGAGGACGTCGACCGCTAAGGAAAATTCATCTACCCAAGCACACTCTCTCTTTAATGAAAAGGTATGTTTAGTCAATAACATTTTTATGTGCTTTGAATCCTTTATAGCTAGTTATTTGAAAATGTTTTAGGCATTAGGGAATATAGTAATATAGTGAATCTTATCCCTCCAAACTTTTATGTGATTTGGTATCCTTCTGCCACATAAAACTTTTCATTCATTATTTTATTTATTTATTTTTCTGGGTAAGAAGACTCAAATTAAGGTCTTTTAAATAAAATCCAAATTATTTGGGGAAATACGCATCTTGAAAGGGATGTATGGCATGCATACATAGTAATGCTATTTTTTTTTTCTTTAGTTATGACTAAGTTTCTTTTTTAGTTATCATATTATTTTAGTTGTGACTCATGAGATCTTTAATTATGTCTCATATAGTGTTCAATTATGATTTTTTTTTTTAATTTTAATTATGACTCAAAAGTATGGAGTTACACCATTTTATTATTTAGTTATAAAATGCATATGGTACACACCTTTTGAAGAGTGTGTACCATAGTCTTTCCCAATTATCCGTCCCAAAAAATATCACCAAAGCTCCTGTCACCACATAAGAAATGTGTCAATCTTGATTAACATGAGAACCCAATTAGTAGAGTATGTTTGGCATGTATCTTAACTTAAGGGATGATTATTCAGTACTCCCGGAGTATGGATACATGGTGCTCCATAAGGTTTTGATTGGTGGAGAGACACAAGGGCCCGCGATTTATGTTAGAGATGGGGGAACAACATGGGGCTAACTGATTGGTGATTGGTTTGGAGTATGGACACGTGGTGCTCCCGGAGTATTGAATAATTTCCCCTAAGTTAATGTGATTAGTGCCATGTAAAATATCACACGAGATATTATTCAAGTGTGGTCATTCTAATAGTAGTCATTTTAACATATGTGGCTCATTTGATAAGCTTTGTAGGTATCCAAATATTAGCCAATTACAAATTATCATGTGTTATAAAGATCTAAAAAATATGACATAAGTATTGTCAAATCAAATATTGTCACGTGTCTAATCAGTCTAAAATCAAGATTATATAGTGGTCAAATCAGATTTTACCATTTGTTAAAATAATGTAGTTTCAAGTAAATAAGTCTCCACAAATAAAATTAAGCCACTTGTCACATTGGATAGTTAAGTTGATAAAATTATGGCACATTATTAAAGTGATATTTTGAAATTTATCTTCATACAAATAGAGAGATAAATATTAATAAAATAATATTTTGGTACTTCTCGCTAGATAATTAAGGATAATAAGCCTAAGGGGTTGACTTAGAGTTAAAGACTTGAGAATAAGATCCAAGGTTTTGAGTTCGAGTCACTCTAAGGGGTCACTGGAGGTCTGTTCGGTGGTTAACTTTAGGACATTAGTTGACATGTGCGCAAATTGATCTGGGCATCCAATTATCAAAAAATAATAATAGTAATAATTAAGGATAATTATCAAAAAAAAAAAATAAAAAAATTAGACTCTATCAAGACTCCTTTTTATTGACACATACAAATAACAGTGATCTCCGAAAAACATTTACACACAATTCTGTACACAAATCAAGTTGAAAGAAAGATTCATCGGATTGAAGCTAGAAAGTCCAGAAGAACTTTCCTTGCATAAGCTTTTGATTTCAAGGCAATTATTCGTGTCGAAACTCTATCAATCTCTATCACACTCAAAGCTTAGAAATTCAAGTTAAAGTTTTTGTGAATCTCTATAAAATTATTGTATTCTTCTACTAAATTGGAGAAGGTTTTGCAATTTGATTTGGAAACAACTGTCCTTATTTTTATCACATTTTTTCCCCATTTTGATAGCTTTGTATTTAATTTATTTGTCGATTTTAAGCCATAATTTGAAATAAATAATACATTTTTTTTTGAGATCGTCAAAAAAAAATAAAATAAAATAAAAGTTCTATGTTCACCATTGTTTTCTCTCATTTTGTACTTTTAATCTACAGAACCCAACAATTTTGAGAAAGGGTGAATTTATAGTGGGTTGAAATTTTCTTAATATGTTCAATTGATGATTTGCTGTCAAAACAATCAAACCAACTCATGCACAACACCTATTGCACAATAAGGACAAAAGGTTGCACTAATGCCACAAAAAGATTTATTACTTCCAAGCTATTATAGTTTCCATTACATGAATCAAAATCATTAATTGTTATGGAACCAACCATTTAAGTTTTGGCATTAATTGGAACATGGTAAAATCAATTTATTGGACTTAAATGATTGACTAATTATGACTAACATCAATTTATTGGGCTCTATTGTACTGCTTGTTATAAGGCTGACCTTGGAGTCTAATGTTTAACAATTATGTTATGAATGTTGTAGGTTACGTTCCCTGCCGTGGAGCAATTTTATATTAACGGACTACCAAAGCTGACAGAGATATGGGACAGGAAATTACCTCCATCAGAGTCCTTTAAAGAATTGCGGGACGTGAACATCTGGAGCTGTGAGAAACTGGTGAATGTCGGTTTGTCCAATATGCCCCGACAATTACTGAAACTAAGAAAACTTCTTGTAGCATATTGTCAAGAGCTGAAAGTAGTAGTATTGGAGAATGGGGAAGAAAATGAAAAGGCAGAAAATAACACTAATACCATCTTGTTCCCTCAACTAACGGGATTGGCGCTTTTACATTTGGAGAGCCTCAAAAGCTTTTGCACCTCTAGATCTGAAAGACAATCCCTTTTCACTAGCCAGGTATGAATGTTCTCATCCTTTTTTGTTGCACATGACTCGTAAAACCAGAAACACAAACGTATATATACATATATGTATATGTTTGTATGCATTTTACTTAGATTAGGCTTCCTTCATGCCTATAATCTAGATTCAAATGTGTTGTTCGGGCTTGTGGGCATACTACGAGTCTTATTTCAATTATTTGAACCGTGCATTTGTTAGGATTCTTTGTTTATATCATCCACAAGAAAATTTAAATCAATTGGATAATTTTAGCCTTCTCAATTTGTCATCAATAAAAAAAAATATATATATTTTTTAAAATGCACTTATCAATCATTTTTTTTGGATATGATTATAATAAATTAAACAAGCTAAGATTATTGGATTGATTTTCTTTTTATTATTATTTTTACGATGATATACACTAACTAAGGACTATACAAAAATAAAATTTAAATCATTGAAACGTGACCCGTGGTGGACTCCCACGGTCCAAAAGGCACACTCGTTGGACATGTATTGGTAATGTATATTTATTTTGAATCTTTCATGTTACGTCCTGGGAAAACACCCCCCAATCCTGTTTGTTAGGTTTTATTATTGGCAATCCCGTTTGACAAGGATTTCTTTAAGAAGTTGATTTTCTTCCAAAACTAGGATTACTTTTGGATTTCTATACGTAATTGGATTTCTTCCAAAACTAGGATTACTTTTGGATTTCTATACGTAATTGGATTTCTTCCAAAACTAGGATTACTTTTGGATTTCTATACGTAATTGGATTTCTTCCAAAACTAGGATTACTTTTGGATTTCTATACGTAATTGGATTTCTTCCAAAACTAGGATTACTTTTGGATTTTCTATAAATAGTTGGTTTTCTCCAAAAACTATTTAATTCCTCCAGAGCTTCTTTTTGGTTCTTAAGGTTTATATCTAGGGATATTTTGTTAGTTTTCTTTGATGTTTTATTGAGTATTCAACTCATGGTTTAAAGAGAGTACATCAAAGGTTTTGTTTGTTATACACAAGAGAGAGAGAGAGAGAGAGAGAGAGTTGTTATTCGGTGGATTCTGAAGAATTCGAGCCTGAAGCTTCGGTGGATTCTGGAGTGGCTCATCGTAAAGACAATTCCGAGGTGAAGACGGGGTTGGAAGAGGCACATAGAGGTTGGTTCAATTAGGCGTGGATTCGCTAGGTAATTGAGAGTATACCTGTGTAATTCCTTTAAATCTTCTTAGTGGATTGTTTTGTAACTGTTGCCCAAGTAAGAGAATCTTGAGATATGTTCCAGGCAGTTCAAATTATGGCATCAGGTATATGAAAGGCAGACCCAATAATCTTGTTGCTTTTGTTAGGTTTTATTCTTGGCAACCCCGTTTGACAAAACTCCTTTCAGTTGTATTTTTTTTTGCACTTTTATTTCAGTGAGGCTATGAGTGTTTAGCACGACTGCAAAATCTGGAAACATTCATGGTAGAGAATTGTCCAAAGATGGAAGCAATAGTCACGGAGAAAGAAAAAGAAACAGGAACCACCAGTAATGATATCATCGTGTTCTCTCAATTAACAACTCTTCATCTTTCTAAGTTGGTGAGACTTAAAAGCTTCTACAACTGGCCTACAAGATCTAAGGCACAACCCTTGTTCAACCACCAGGTTTGATTTTCCTTTTTTATTTTATTAACCATGGCCATGGGAAAGCGTGCACACACAAAAAAATAAAATAAAAATAAAATTCCTTTTCCATTACAATTTTCGATTTGAAGCTTATTTGAATATTCTACTTCTATCCAAATCCAAATAAAAGTAAAATAATTTCAAGGTGGATATGCTTGGGGCCTATGATGGAAATTACAATAATAGCCAAAGAAAAATATGTACGAATTCTAAATACACCATATTTTTATTTTGAATATGAATCTTAATATGATTTTGTTTGACTAAAATATATATAAGTTTGCCTTCTTTACCATTTGAGCCGAACCCAAATGAGTTTTAATCGAACAGAGTTTGAGCAACTTGGTATTTTACTACCCATTTAAGTTTATAAAACTGAGTTCGAAATGAACTCAAAAAATCGGTGCATTTTAAAATGTGTTAAATTTTAACTTATTTAAATAATAAGTCATTCTTGAATTGTTTTTTATTGTGCCAAATATTAATCGAGTTCAAATAATTTGATTTGTTTTACCATCTTAACTTAAATAGATATGCCAGGAAAATGAATATTAAATTAAATAAAAAATTATCAATATAAAAAATTACCAAGGCACCGTGGTGAATTTTTAAAATAAAATTTTCTTCTTTTTCATAGGTCTAATACTCAGATCTACAACATAAGTTGCCTTATCTAAAAAATAACTAACAAGATTATGGAACACAAATTATTAAAGGCAAATAGAAAAATAATGATGAAAGATGGAAAACATTATGAAAAGTTGATGACAAAAAGGTGCTTAGTTAATAATTAAGCAATACAATAAATATTTCAAAAGAATATGGCGATATGCAATTATCAATTGCTTGCCTATGGCTTTTCATTTCTGTAACGCCCTCAAAATAAACCCATAATATATATAACATTGGCATGCATTAATAAAAGAAAACCAACCATTATACCATTCATCAGAGTATTCTTATTGAAAAGCATTACACGTAACATCAAAGTAAATGCCCTACGGGCTTACATCTTTCCAAGCCAACACTTGGACACAAAATGTGAGTACTAACTCAACTACAAGTTAAGCCCTTGGCTTGAGTGTTTACATGTAATAGCAATAAGATACAAGACAACTAAACTAAACAGAGTCTTCAACTCCAATTCCTTCCAAGCTAAGTCCTTGGAGGTAGCTTGTTACCTGAACCTGAAAATGATGTTCCCATAAAGGGTGAGCCACAGCCCAGTAGAAATATACTAAACCAAATATAAGTAATGAATAAAGCAATAGCAGTCAATAGATGGTTAACCAAGATAATCGATTACAACATTATCCAATCTCATGACACTATTGTCAAAAACACGTTTCACTTTCCAACATTATCAATATGGCTCAGAACCTGGCCAAACTTACAACAGTGAATTATATATATCATATTCACATTCTTCCAATGTCAACAAACAAATGAGACTCAAGCTCAAATCAAAACACTTCATACTTCCAGATTGATACACATTTTAGTGCTGTATCAATAAAAACACTTCTATATAAATAAGCACACATAAAAGTGATGCTAATGGAGTCCATCCCCTATCTCCTCCCAAAAAAAATCCGGTTTAGAGGTCCATCCCCTATCTTCCCCTAAACCGTGGAGTACATCCCCTATCTCCTCCCAAACAATATGCATATGCAATGCTCAATCAATACATGTAATTTCTGTATTAATTCAATAGTCTAAATTTATGACTTAAACAAATTGATTAGTTTCAATTTTCCCTAATCCACATGCAATGTCTACAACAAACATGACTATCCTCCACCGATAGCCCAAAACAGTTATTTCTAGACTGGAAATAAATATAACAACAATTCAATAGGCGAGTGATTTAAATTATCCAACTACGCCATTTAATCAATAAATTCCCCAATTTCATAAATTTAACCAAATTCCCCAATTTCATTAATTTAATTTTATACAAATTAATTAATCAATACAACTAGGGTTTTTCCCAAAATTATCAAAGTAACTCCAACATATCAATATACCAAAACTTAGAACAAAACTCATATAATGGAGTAGGAAATCCCTACCTCAAAGAAAAAGCCCCAAAAGAGAAGATGGAGATGAATACCCAAATTCCAATGTGCTCCAAATCCACTATTTTTCATATTAGAATGAAGCTCAAGCCGCCCTCTATCTTTCTTACAAAGAACTTAGGATGGATTCACACTAGAAGTAGATGAAAATCTAGAGAGAAGATGATTTTAGAGAGAGAGGAGTCGGACCTAGGGTTTGGAATCAAAGAGAAGATGAAAAACTGATCAAAAACCCGTTGCTGCGTAATTAAACTGGACAAGCTCGCTCGAGCGAAGCATTTGTCGCTCGAGCGACCAGAAACAAGAAATACTCGCTCGAGCAAAGAAAAGTTCGCTCGAGCCAAGAATGCCAAGCTACAGGTCCATACCAGACGCAAACTCTCGCTCGAGCGATCAAACCCCGGCTCGAGCGAAGAACCAAAAACAAAAGCTCGCTCGAGCGAAAAACTCCTCGCTCGAGCGAAGATCCAAAATTCTGGACAGCAACACTTGGTTTCTAAACCCAACCAACCTGAAACAAACCTGCCCAACACATCCTATAACTTCAAATGAGAAAATAAGGGACAACAACAACAATTATACAATGACAGAATCTACGGAACCTAAGTCCGGATACAATAATCAAATGGGAGAAGACCAGGGTCGCTATAATTTCCGCTCATGCATGATTAAAGCATGCATTTGGAAACTGTTGCAATTATCAATTGTTGCTTATCCACAATTTTGTAATAGTCACTAACTACATGTGTTGTAAATTACTTTGCAGGTTTCTTTCCCCGTCTTGGAGGAATTGAAAATTCAGAAATTGCCTAACATAACAGAGATATGGGACAAGCAATTAGTCATAGCCTCAGAAGAAGAATCAAAGTCCTTCTGCCAACTGAAAGATATGACGGTTTCTAATTGTAAGAAATTGGTACATGTGTTCCAGTTCAATATGCTCTCACGACTGCAAAATCTGGAAACATTCAACGTATATCATTGTCCAAAGATGGAAGTGATAGTCTCAGAGAAAGGGAAAGAAGGAACCACCAGTAATGATATCATCGTGTTCTCTCAATTAACAACTCTTAAACTATCTGAGTTGGTGAGCCTTAAAAGTTTCTACAACTGGCCTACAAGATTTGAAGTACAACCATTGTTCAACAACAAGGTTTGATTTTCCTAATTTATTTTATTAACTGTGGCCATGGGAAAGCATTCGCACAAAAAAAATTAAAATTCCTTTTTAAATACAATTTTAAATTTGAAGCTTATTTGAATATTCTCTTTCTATCCAAATCCAAATAAATGTAAAATAATTTCAAGGTGGATATGCTTGGGGCCTACAATGGAAATTACAACATTAGCCAAACAAAAATACGTATGAATTCTAAATACACTGTATCTACAACATAAGTTGCCTTATCTAAAAAATAACTAACAAGATTGTGGAACACAAATTATTAAAGGGAAATAGAAAAATAATTATGAAAGATGGAAAACTATATGAAAAGTTGATGACAAAAAGGTGCTTAGTTAATAATTAAGCAGTACAATAAATATTTCAAAAGAATATGGCGATATGCAATTATCAATTTGCTTGTCTATGGCTTTTCTTTTCCGCTCATACATGACTAAAGCATGCATTTGGAAACTGTTGCAATTATCAATTGTTGCTTATCCACAATTTTGTAACAGTCACTAACTACATGTGTTGTAAATTACTTTGCAGGTTGCTTTCCCCGTCTTAGAGGATTTGGAAATTGAGGAATTACCTAACATAATAGAGATATGGGACAAGCAATTAGTCATAGACTTAGAAAATGAATCAAAGTCCTTCTGCCATCTGAAAGATATAAGGGTTTCTAATTGTGAGAAATTGGTACATGTGGTCCAGTTCAATATGCTCCCACGACTGCAAAATCTGAAAAAATTCAACGTAGATAATTGTCCAAGGATGGAAGCGATAGTCTCGGAGAAAGAAAAAGAAGAAGGAACCACCAATAATGATATCATCGTGTTCTCTCAATTAACAACGCTTAATCTTTCTGAGTTGGTGAGCCTTAAAAGCTTCTACAACTGGCCTACAAGATCTAATGCACAACCCTTGTTCAACCACCAGGTTTGATTTTTCTTTTTTATTTTTTTAACCCTTGCCATGGGAAAGCGTGCGCATAGAAAAAAAAATAAAATTCCTTTTCCATTACAATTTTAAATTTGAAGCTTATTTTAATATTCTCTTTCTATCCAAATCCAAATAAGAGTAAAATAATTGAAAGGTGGATATGCTAGTGGTCTACGATGGAAATTACAATATTAGCCAAACAAAAATATGTATGAATTCTAGTACACCATATTTTTATTTTGAATATGAATCGTAATATGATTTTATTTGACTCAAATATATATATTAGTTTGTCTTCTTTACCATTTGAGCCAAACCCAAACGAGTTTTAATTGAACAGAGTTCGAGCTACTTGGTATTTTACTGCCCATTTAAGTTTATAGAACTGAGTTCAAACTGAACTCAAAAAATCGGTGAATTTCAAAATGTGTTAAATTTTAACTTATTTAAATAATAAGTCATTCTTGAATTGTTTTTTGTTGAGCCGAATAAATCGAGTTCAAATAATTTGATTTGCTTTACCATCTTAACTTAAATAGATACGCCAAGAAAATGAATGTTAAATTAAATAAAAATTATCAATATAAAAAATTATCAAGGCACTGTGGTGAATTTTTTAAATAAAATTTTATTCTTTTTCATTGGTCTAATACTTAGATCTACAACATAAGTTGCCTTGTCTAAAAAATAACTAACAAGATTGTGGAACACAAATTATTAAAGGCGAAAAGAAAAATAATGATGAAAGATGGAAAACAATATGAAAAGTTGATGACAAAAAGGTGCTTAGTTTATAATTAAGCAATACAATAATTATTTCAAAAGAATATGGCGATATGCAATTATCAATTTGCTTGTCTATGGCTTTTCATTTCCGCTCATACATGATTTAAGCATGCATTTGGAAACTGTTGCAATTATCAATTGTTGCTTATCCACAATTTTGTAACAGTCACTAACTACATGTGTTGTAAATTACTTTGCAGGTTGCTTTCCCCGTCTTAGAGGATTTGAAAATTAGGGAATTGCCTAACATAATAGAGATATGGGACAAGCAATTAGTCATAGCCTCAGAAGAAGAATCAAAGTCCTTCTGCCAACTGAAAGATATGAGCGTTTCTAATTGTAAGAAATTGGTACATGTGGTCCAGTTCTGTATGCTCTCACGACTGCAAAATCTGGAAACATTCGAAGTAGATGATTGTCCAAAGATGGAAGCGATAGTCTCGGAGAAAGGAAAAGAAGGAACCACCAGTAATGATATCATCGTGTTCTCTCAATTAACAACTCTTAAACTATCTGAGTTGGTGAGCCTTAAAAGTTTCTACAACTGGCCTACAAGATTTGAAGTACAACCGTTGTTCAACAACAAGGTTTGATTTTCTTAATTTATTTTATTAACCGTGGCCATGGGAAAGCATGCGCACAAAAAAAATTAAAATTCCTTTTCAAATAAAATTTTAAATTTGAAGCTCATTTTAATATTCTCTTTCTATCCAAATCCAAATAAAAGTAAAATAATTTCATGGTGGATATGCTAGGGGCCTACGATGGAAATTACAATATTACCCAAACAAAAATATGTATGAATTCTAGTACACCGTATTTTTATTTTGAATATGAATCGTAATATGATTTTATTTGACTCAAATATATATATTAGTTTGTCTTCTTTACCATTTCAACTGAACCCAAATGAGTTTTAATTGAACAGAGTTCGAGCTACTTGGTATTTTACTGCCCATTTAAGTTTATAGAACTGAGTTCAAACTGAACTGAAAAAATAGGCGAATTTCAAAATGTGTTCAATTTTAACTTATTTATATAATAAGTCATTCTTGAATTGTTTTTTATTGAGCCGAATATAAATTGAGTTCAAATAATTTGATTTGTTTTACCATCTTAACTTAAATAGATATGCCAAGAAAATGAATATTAAATTAAATAAGAAA